TTAAAGCATTTTTCAACCTTTAAAGATTGACAACCACCTCTATGAGGTGATTCAGTGGTAGAATTCTAGCCTTCTATGCAATACACTTAGATTTGATTCCTGGCCAACGTCCCTCATGCCCTGCCACCACCTGTCTGTCAATGGAGGCTTGTGTGTTGCTGTGATGCTGAACAAGTTTCAGCAGAGCTTGCAAACTAAGGCAGACTAGAAATACAGGCCTGGCAATATACTTCTGAAAATCAGTGAAAACTCTAGGGGATCACAACTGCTCAATCATGGGATGGCACATGACCACGAATTGGGGTCAGTTCAACAGCAGCTAACAACAAACTACTGTGAAGCTTACTTTAAAAATTGTCCCCCCCAAAGAATACAGACTCTAAAAGGTAGGGAGGTGCAGGGGTCTCTGCCTCTTTAGTTCACTCATGTGTTCCAAAGTCTTAGCACAGGGCTTGGCTCTTAATAGGACACAAGAAGTGTTTATTGAATGAATAAATGAATTGCACAGTTGTGGCAGACACAGACGATTACCTACCCAGCAGCAACTCCTCTCTTCTTCCTTGCCAAGAAACCTGATTTTATTTGGGGCAGCAGTGTGCCCAGCTCCACAGGGTCACATTTGCTCTAAACCCATCATGACTAACCCACTTCCCTTTCCTCTTTTGCAGCTAGTGACCCAGTTCTGAGGAAGCCCACTTGGAAATCCCAGGAAACAATGGAAGGGGGAAGGCAACTTTCTGGAAAAGATTTTCCTTCATGATGAAAGCTAACGTTGTCATTACTGCCCACTTCCTGTCGGAATAACTATTAACACTCAAAGTGCTGGACAGATAAAACCAACCAAGCAAAGACATACAGTCAAAATAGTTTTTAAAGGAAATCATGGATTTTATGGGAAAAAAAGCCTAGATTTACTTGTAGGCATATTCTCATTTTTTGAGGGTTTTTTTTTTTTTTTTTGTGATAATTTTAAAATTTTTTTTTTTTTTTTGGGTTACTGTTCCTGTGTGATTATATGGGGTGTTTTTAGAATTGTTTAAAGGTTCCAATTCTTTACCCTTTGGAGCAAAAGCACGTGTAAATGACAGATTTGCCTGGTCCCAAGAGTCCTTTTCTCTTTCAGTGCTATTCCTCTTTAACACAAATATCAAAGACAAGTGACTTCCAAGCTAGACTGAAGTGGATTTGTTTGGTCTTTGTGGAATTTTGCGTCTCTGAATTAATTGTCAACATTTAGAAATTGAAGAACACACATGTAATTATGTATTTCTAGATTCTCTTTTAATATGGGAATATTTGACAACTGTAGGTCAGAATCAGGCATGGCAACGATTGCCTGGAACTAAG